CACAAGGATTGTTAGGAAGAGATGGGATCCACCTAACCAAGAGAAGAAAAAGCATCTTCACGGGCAGGCTTGCAAACCTAGTGAGAAGGGCTTTAAACTAGGTTCGTGGAGGGACGGTGACCAAAGCCCTGAGATAAGTGGGGAAGTCGGATACTGGGAAGAAACAGAAGGAGGAACAAGCAACAAAGGAGGACCCCTGAATCTAATGGAGAATATAGGGTGATCAACTGCTTATCTAAGGCATTTGTACACAAATGCAAGAAGCTTGGGAAACAAACAGGAAGAATTAGAAGCCCTGCCCCAGTCAAAGAACTAGGATTTGATTGGAATAACAGAGACTTGGTGGGATGACTCGCATGACTGGAGCACTGTCATGGAAGGGTATAAACTGTTCAGGAAGAACAGGCAGGGGAGAAAAGGAGGAGGAGTTGCATTGTATGTAAGAGAGCAGTAGGATTGTTCAGAGTTCCAGTATATAGAGGGCCTGTTGAGAGTCTATGGGTTAAGTTTAAAGGTGGAAGCAACAGGGATGATGTTGTGGTTGCTGTCTGCTATAGCCCACCGGATCAGGTGGATGAGGCTTTCTTCAGACAACTGAGAGAAGCTTCCAGATCACAGACCCTAGTTTTCATGGGAGACTTTAATCACCCTGACATCTGTTGGGAGACCAATACAGCAGTACACCGACAATCCAGGAAGTTTTTGGAGAATGTTGGGGATAACTTCTTGGTAGAAGTTCTGAAGGAAACAACCAGAGGACATGCGCAGCTTGACCTGCTGCTCACAAACAGGGAAGAACTAGTGGGGGAAGTAGAGGTGGGTAACAACCTGGGAAGCAGTGACCATGAGATGGTACATTTCAGGATCTTGACCATAGGAAGAAAGGATAGTAGCAAAATACACAGCCTGGACTTCAGAAGAGCAGACTTTGACTCCCTCAGAGAACTGATGGTCAGGATTCTGTGGGATGCTTACATGAAGGGGAAAGAAGTCCAGGAGAGCTGGCAGCATTTTAAAGAAGCCTTATTAAAGGCACAGGAAAAAATCATCCCAATGCGCAGAAAGAAAAGCAAATATGGTAGGCGACCAGATTGGCTTACCGGGGACATCAATGGTGAGCTTAAACACAAAAAGGAAGCTTACAAGAAGTGGAAACTTGGACAGATAACTAGGGAGGAATATAAATAAATTGCTCGAGAATGCAGGGGCGTTATTAAGAAGGCGAAAGCGCAATTGCAATTGGCAAGGGATGTGAAGGTCAACAAGAAAGGTTTCTACAGTCATGTTAGAAATAAGAGGGTGATCAGAGAGGGTGTGGGGATGAGGGAGGTAACCTAGTGACAGATGATGTGGAAAAAACTGAAGTACTCAATGCTTTCTTTGCCTCTGTCTTCATGGACAAGGTCAGCTCCCAGACAAATGCACTAGATAACGCAGTATGGGAAGGAGGTGGAGAGCCGTTGGTGGGGAAAGAACAAGTTAAGAACTATTTAGAAAAGCTAAACATACACAAATCCATGGGTTCGGATTTAATGCATCTGAGAGTACTGAGGGAGTTGGCTGGGCAGGATTCCCTGGGATGCTAACATGAAGGGAAAGGAGTCCAGGAGAGCTGGCAGTATTTTAAAGAAGCCTTACTGAAGGCACAGGAAGAAACCATCCCGATGCGCAGCAAGAAAAGCAAATATGGTAGGTGACCAGATTAGCTTACCGGAGAAATCCTTAGTGATCTTAAACACCAAAGAAAAGCTGACAAGAAGTGAAAACTTGGACAGATGACTAGGGAAGAGTATAAATATATTACTCAAGAATGCAGGGGTGTTATCAGGAAGGCAAAAGTGCAATTGGAATTGCAGCTAGCAAGGGATGTGAAGGGCAACAAGAAAGGTTTCTACAGGCATGTTAGCAATAAGAGGGTGATCAGAGAGAGTGTGGGGCCCTTACTGGATGAGGGAGGTAACCTAGTGACAGATAAGGTGGGAAAAGCTGAAGTACTTAATGCTTTCTTTGCCTCTGTTTTCATGGACAAGGTCAGCTACCGGACTAATGCACTAAACAATGCAGTATGGGAAGGAGGTGGACAGCCCTTGGTGGGGAAAGAACAAGTTAGGAACTATTTAGAAAAGCTAAACATACAAATATCCATGGGTCTAGATTTAATGCATCTGAGGGTACTGAGGGAGTTGGCAAATGTCATTGCAGAGCCTTTGGCCATTATCTTTGAAAACTTGTGGAGATCGGGAGAGATCCCGGATGATTGGAAAAAGGCAAATGTTGTGCCCATCTTTAAAACAGGAAAGAAGGACAATCCAGGGAACTGCAGACTGGTCAGACTTACCTCAGTCCTGAAAAAAACATGGAGGGGATCTTCAAGGAATCCATTTTGAAGCACTTGGAAGAGTGATCAGGAATAGTCAACATGGATTCACCAAGGGCAAGTCGTGCCTGACCAATCTGATTAGCTTCTATGATGAGGTAAGTGGCTCTGTGGATATGGGAAAATCAGTGGATGTGATATACCTTGACTTCAGCGAACCTTTTGTTACGGTCTCCTACAATATTCTTCCCAGCAAGTTAAGGGAGTATGGATTGGATAAATGGACTATAAGATAGATAGAAAGCTGGCTAGACTGTTGGACCCAACAGGTAGTGATCATTAGCTTGATGTCAGGTTGGCGATCGGTTTCTAGCGGAGTGCCCCAAGGATCAGTTCTAGGACTGGTTTTGTTCAACATCTTTATTAATGACCTGGATGAGTTGATGGATTGCCCCCTCAGAAAGTTTGCAGACGACACTAAGCTAGGGGGAGAGGTAGATACACTGGAGGGTAGGGATAGGGTCCAGAGTGACCTAGACAGATTAGAAGACTGGGCCACAAGAAATCTGATGAGGTTCAACAAGGACAAGTGCAGAGTCTTGCACTTGGGACGGAAGGATCCCAAGCACTGGTACAGGATGGGGACTGACTGGCTAAGTAGCAGTTCAGCAGAAAAGGACCTGGGGATTACAGTGGATGAGAAGCTGGATATGAGTCAACAGTGTGCCCTTGTAGCCAAGAAGACTAATGGCACATTAGGTTGCATTAGGAGGAGCATTACCAGCAGATCTAGAGAAGTGATTATTCCCCTTTATTCAGCTCTGGTGAGGCCACATCTGGAGTAGTGTGTCCAGACTATAACAGAGTTTAAAGAGAAGCTAGATAATTTCATGGAGGTTAGGTCCATAAAGGCTGTTAGCCAGGGGATAGAAATGGTGTCCCTGGCTTCTGTTTGTCAGAGGCTAGAGAAGGATGGCAGGAGGCAAATCGCTTGATCATTGTCTTCAGTCCACCCCATCTGGGGCATCTGGTGCTGGCCACTGTCGGCAGACAGGCTATTGGGCAAGATAGACCTTTGGTCTGACTCAGTAATGGCCATTCTTATGTTCTGGGCCCCCCACTATACAAAGGATGTGGACGCATTGGAGAGGGTCCAGCGGAGGGCAACCAAAATGATTAGGGGACTGAAGTGCATGACTTATGAGAAGAGGCTGAGGGATTTGGGGTTGTTTAGTCTGCACAAGAGAAGAGTAAGGGAGGATTTGATAGCAGCCTCCATCTTCCTGAAGGGAGGTTCCAAAGAGGATGGAGAAAGGCTATTCATAGTAGTGATGGATGGAAGAACAAGGAGCAATGGTCTCAAGTTACACTTGCGGAGGTCTAGGTTAGATATTAGGAAAAACTATTTCACTAGGAGGGTGGTGAAGTACTGGAATGGGTTACCTACGGAGGTGGTGGAATCTCCATCCCTAGAGGTTTTTAAGTCTCCTCTTGACAAAGCCCTGGCTGGGTTCATTTAATTGGAGATTGGTCCTGCCTTGGCAGTGGGATGGACTTGATGACCTCCTGAGGTCTCTTCCAGCTATATGATTCTGTGATATTATTTGAGCTGAGTGGGTCTAATATTTGTCTTTCATTTATATAGGAATTAGATACAGTGCTCCTATCAGCTAACTGCTAAATTATCTGCCAGAAAGCTTGAGTTTTCAAAATAGCTCCTGGAATCAGTTAAGTTGTCCCCGCTCGATCAAAATCCAAAAGTGCAGCCCTACCCCCATAACTTGTCAGGATAAGCTGCTGGCAGGCAGATAGATTGCTTCTCCCACTGGCTGCAGTTCACCATTCCCAGCCAAACAGCTGTGGAAAGCAGCCCAGGCCACAGGAACTTGCTGGCCATGGCTTTCCACAGCTCCATTTGGCTGGAAAAAGTGAACAGCAGCCAATGGAGCATAGTAAGCAACCTGTCTCACAGCCTGCCAGTAGCTTATCCTGATGGGCCGCAGGTTGCTCACCACTGCTGTAGAACATTCAGAGAAGGCACCCGTATGCAGAGAAATATACAGGACTATTTACAAGGCCACGAACAGAGAAAATATGAAACAGTAGGATGGCGGGGTGGTACACAGCATTGCTGAAAAGCTACATTTATTCTTGCTGTGGGAAAAAGACATTCTGCTCCATGAGTGCAACTGGTCAGAAATCTGGTGAACAAGCATGCAGAGCCAGAAAGTGACAAAGCGCTCCCAACAAACCTTTAAGCAGCTATAGCTGGGGGTTTGGTATGATTCTTGTAGATTCCCAGGGCCATGTCTGCTGGCAGCTCAGGGAGAGGTACTCTGAGTTTGCCTTGGCTCCCCCTCCCTACCAGGGTCAGAGTCTGCCCGGCAACCCACAGGGAGTGAGATGCAGTCTCCTTCAGGTCTCTAGAGGCTAGTTCTCAGATGGACACCCTGCATGCAGGCCTGGGGCTTACTAGCTCCCACACAGGCAGCCCTCCCCTTACCCTGGCTGGCTCCAGACTCCCCCAACAATGGCTTCTCCTCCCCCTCCTGAACTTGGAGGGGCATCTCACTCCCTATGGGTTGCCGGGCAGACTCTGACCCTGGTAGGGCAGGGGGGCCAAGGTAAACTCAGTGTGCCTGTACCTGAGCTGCCAGCAGACAGAGCCCCGGGAATCTAAGTCATCTCCTTGGGGGTTATACTTGGTCTTCACAGGCAGGGAGAACTTAATTTTGCAGAAGTGATTACTCTCCTTCCACCCGCCTCAGGAATTGCCAGTAGGACTAACAGTCATAAGCACATCATATAGCCATCCCAATGCTCCAGAATTGTCCTGAAGTCTCCAGAAGTTAATCTTTGATTAAAGATTGTTGTGTAATGAAACTTCCAGGAATACATGTAACCAGAACTGGCAAACATAACATATACTCACCCTTCCCTTCAGTTTCAAAGTCCACCACAACTCCTCGTGCCCCATTCACCAGACCCCGCGACACATCCAGGTTCTTAGTAAGAATCACCTAGACGTGGAGAGGAAAGATGCTTAAATTTGTTTGGTGCCCCTACCTTACAGCCCTATTCATTCACCTGCCTCTCCTTAGTTCTGCTCTTGTATCAGAAGCTTCAGAAAAATTGGCTTATGCTGTTAATACTACTGTGAGACCTAGCAACGGTAGATGGAATCACCGTACAATAAAGCCACCCCAGAGCGCCTCTCTTCCCAGGGCTCTCAGCTTTTGGGCCTCACAGGGAACAGACCTCATTACCCCTTTATTCTATGTGAAACAGCTTTGGAAAGAATGTGAATTAATTACGCTTGGGTCTCTGGGAATGATTCTTTTTCACAGTCTAGCAGCTTACAGGGACTTTAAACAAGTCTCCAGTGCAGACTGAGAAGGGCCATTGTAAGCAACCTTATGATACCCTTCATTCCCAAGTTCTATTGTACAGCATGCAATAGTAATTAGAGGCCAGAGTCATAGCACATGGTGATGCAGGGATTCTAAACTGTGCTATAGTCTATGAGCAATTTAGGATATGATGATTTAATTTATGTTGAGAATTGAGCAGCCTAGATCCAGGCAGCACAAAAGTGGCTTTAAACTGCCTTTTCCTCTAGTCTCCCACAATCTGCACTTATTGTGATTCTGTGCTGTGTGCTGCCAATGTTGCTTTTCCTTTGGATACAGATGAAGCATCCAGCTTGGTCAACAAGTTTCCAGCAGAGATTGAGATTGAACATAAGACAAGTTGCTTCATCCATCTGAATCAGACTGCAGAAAAGGGGAAGGAAATAGCATGTTTGTTTACAACCTGGAATCGGGAAAAATAACCCCAACTATACGTGCAGTATGATGGGGGCTAATTTGGCTATGACAAATCAGGAAAGAGATCTTGGAGTTATCATGGATAGTTCTCTAAAAACTTCCACACAGTGTGCAGCGGCGGTGAAAAAGGCAAATAGGATGCTAAGAATTATTAAGAAAGGGATAGAAAATAAGACCCAGAATATCTTACTGCCTCTGTATAAAATTATGGTACGCCCACATCTTGAATACTGTGTACAGATGTGGTCTCCTCACCTCAAAAAAGATATTTTGGCCTTGGAAAGGGTCCAGAAAAGGGCAACTAAAATGATTAGGGGTTTGGAACAGGTCCCATATGAAGAGAGGTTAAAGCGACTGGGACTTTTCAGTTTAGAAAAGAGGAGACTGAGGGGGGATATGATAGAGGACTATAAAATCATGAGTGGTGTGGAGAGGGCGGATAAAGAAAAGTTATTTATTAGTTCCCATAATAGAAGAGCTAGAGGACACCAAATGAAATTAATGGGTAGCAGGTTTAAAACTAATAAAAGAAAGTTCTTTTTCACACAGCGTGTAGTCAACCTGTGGAACTCCTTGCCAGAGGAGGCTGTGAAGGCTAGGACTATAGGGGTATGTCTACACTACCCCGCTAGTTCGAACTAGCAGGGTAATGTAGGCATACCGCACTTGCAAATGAAGCCTGGGATTTGAATTTCCCGGGCTTTATTTGCATAAGCGGGGAGCCACCGTTTTTAAAACCCCGCTGGTTCGAACCCCGTGCAGCGCGGCTACACGGGGCACGAACTAGGTAGTTCGAACTAGGCTTCCTAGTTCGAACTACCGTTTCTCCTCTTGAAATGAGGAGTAACTGTAGTTCGAATTAGGAAGGCTAGTTCGAACTACCTAGTTCGTGCCCCGTGTAGCCACGCTGCACGGGGTTCGAACCAGCGGGGTTTTAAAAACGGTGGCTCCCCGCTTATGCAAATAAAGCCCGGGAAATTCAAATCCCAGGCTTCATTTGCAAGTGCGGTATGCCTACATTACCCTGCTAGTTCGAACTAGGAGGGTAGTGTAGACATACCCTAACAGAGTTTAAAGAGAAGCTAGATAATTTCATGGAGGTTAGGTCCATAGAAGGCTATTAGCCAGGGGATAAAATGGTGTCCCTGGGCTCTGTCTGTCAGAGGCTGGAGAAGGATGGCAGGAGACAAATCACTTGATCATTGTCTTCGGTCCACCCTCTCTGGGGCACTTAGTGCTGGCCACCTTTGGTCTGACCCAGTACGGCCGTTCTTATGGGATGTGAGAGGTGCTTCTTTTTTACACCTTCTATACTGTTATCTTCAACTCCTGTTCCAAATACTGACTGAATCCTTCTGTTCTGTTGGCCCTTACTCCCCACAGCATACAAATATACTCACCTGGGCTCCTGGTTTCAACTGAATACAGTGACCTACTGGGCACTGAGCATCAATAGCTTTGACTACCATGGGATCACTGTCCACAGCCTCATAGGAATGTATTTCTCCTGGTAAGGAGGAAAATATTATGAACATGGGCTTACCATCAGAATTATCACACAACAAAGTACCTACGTATGGTGGAAAATTGGCACTAACTCCAGACAGCAGGTTTCTCCAGACTGCACGTTAAGGATTCTTAGTTCCCATTCTGAACTCAGCCCCAGGAATCCAGTTCTTCGCACAACTGTTTTAATATCCCAGAAAAAGTCTCTTCCTGTAGCTTCGTAAAGCAGAAACCCCCTGCTGGCCCTCCCCTACCACTTGCTCCAATTTACAACTTCCAGAGCTTGTAGATCTGAGCATATGTATTCATTGGAATAGAAGCCGAGTGTTAGTGGGACTCATCAGGTGACCCATGTTAGGGAATCCTGGGCTGTAGCATCTACCTTATATTTAAAACCCACATTAAAAAACTTCTAACCCATGCTAGAATCTAGGGCTCTGGCATCCACACTTCAGAGTGCACACTCAAGTCAAAGTAATCACATCCCAGAATCTCCAACGTGCCCCCTTCTTCTCACAACTTAGAATGCCTGCTTTAGCTCTAGGACTATTGTGTGCTGTGGGAAAATTTTACTGCCTGCCCTTCACTTTTACAGGAAGAGTGAATAGCTCATCAACCCAACCTGTTGAGCAGCCAGTTTTGGTCTGCTATTGGAGCCATAAAATAGAGAACCCACTTTTTGATCAACTTCTCTTGCTTGCACTTCCATTCCTGTGTTATGAAACTGGCAGAGCATCCACAAGGCACTGGTAGACGTTTCAGTAGTGTTTTATGTTACAAAAGGATCTGTTCTTAATATAGTGGATTGCAGACTATTGGGATAGAGTGAACTAAGGAAGTTGTCCCACGGAACTAGGAGATACTTTTGGCTGACTTAGGATCTTAATCACAGGGGGCTATGTTACACTACACCCCATATTCGTCAGAGATCTTATTATATGAATAGGATGTTGTATGCTTGATGGATCATGTGAGGTATCATTGGAAAAGTTATAATGTACTACGAGTATCCTATCTTTTTTTAAAAATCTGAAGTTGGGAATATCATCTGTGTACTAATTATAATTGTTCTTACACCTGGGGAACATCCACCACATCAGATGCAATCAGTCTGGATGGGCCATTAGGGAGAGCAATAGGACTTTGAAGATGTTAATCTCTCAACTGCCTCAGAAACTTCCTAAGATGCTGTGATGTAGTGTTGGTACCTTGCTGGTTGCTAGGCTTGGGCTGTGGATGACCCTCACTGGCTGCTGTCTGTACCACGGCCCAGCAGAGAACTTGATGGGCCAGGTGGGTAACCTGATCTACTAGTTACCTCCCAGGGAGAGGAATAAAGGGAGGAAGGCGGAGTGCAGTGCCTGGCTGGGGGGCAGGTCTGGAAGTTGGGCAGTTTCTGTCTGGTATCATGGAGGAAGCAGCCTAGGCAAGGGGCTGGGATTTAGGGGCCCAGTCTCCCCCATCTCAAGGGGGGCTGAGGCATCCTAGGCCTGCCCTGTAACCAGATTACATCTGTGCTGTGCTGCATCCTGGAGAAGCAATAAACTCCCTCTATTCTACTGGCTGGTGGAGTCTGTTCGTGCCATTCCGGGGGTGCAGGAGTCGGGGAAACCCCGACGCGTCATCACTTTGAAGATGTTAATCTCTCAACTGCCTCAGAAACTTCCTAAGATGCTAACAATCTTGACTCATGGCTGCTTTGACACTGCAGGGTGATGTAATTGTAGAAGCTGTAGAAACCATTTCATATTTAGCTAGAAGCCATCTTGTATATCAGAAACCATTTCAGCTTTTCTCTCAAGCACGTAGACCAGAGTGAACTTTCTGTCACCCCGTGAGAAGAGGCCTACAGGATGGGCTATTGGAATGTGTTAATTGGGCTGGTTGGGACAGGAGATGTACTCCCTCGTACCTGTCCGCCATCTTGTTGATAAGGCTTTGTTTTTCCAAATTTAATTGAGGATTTCTGTAATTGGATGCCCTGACGTCAGACTGTTTGGCTAAGGGTATAAAGATACTAGGATTGATTGTGTTAGCAGCTTTACTGGGCCTGGCTTTGTTGGGGCCACGTTTGGCTTATGCTGTGCTTTATTAATTAATAAATCTGTTTGTTAGCTGCCTAAACAGAGAGGAGCGGTTTTTTTGCTTCAACATGATCATGTCATCTGCAAGTATTTTTCCACTAATAAAGGGTGGGGATCAACTGGGAAACAAAGGAAAAAGACAGTTACCTGTTTCTATAACTTGTCTTCGAGAGGTGTCGCTCGTGTCCATTCAACGTCGGTGCGTATGCTCAGCATGTGCACCAGCACTGGAAGATTTTCCCTCAGCAGTATCTGCAGGGGACCAGCTCCAGCCCCCTCTAGAGAAATGCACAGATGCTGCACTAAATAGGCTGCCGGACCCCTTCCCTCCTCAATTCCTTCATGCTGGAAACTCTGACAGTGGAGGAGAGTGGAATGTTGAATGGACATGAAGACACATCTCAAAAAACACCCATTATTGAAACAGGTAACACTCTTTTCTTGAGTGTTTGCTCATGTCCATTCAATATAGGTGACTCTGAGCAGTATCTTCAGAGATTGGTAGGAGTTTAAGGACAGCAACAAAGTGGGATGTGAACATATGGGCTGAATACCACAATGCACCCTTGAAAAAGTACTGGATAATAATATGGGCCAGAAAGGCTACCAGAGGACTGTGCCTTGGTGAAATACACTCTCACCAACACAGGCTGTTGTGCCCCTGCCAACTTATAGCATGTTTGGATATAGGAGGTCATCCAGTTAGATATTTTCTATGTAGACACCAGGAGACCTTACATCCTTTCAGCATACATGATGAAAAGCCGGAACGTCTTACGGTGCTGACCACCCAATGGTGCCGGTGGTGCGCTGTGCACCAATGCACTAGTGCTCAGTGCCAAGTCAGTTTTGTTCTTGTGGGGCAAGGGCCGACTCTCACTTTTGGTTCACAGCTGTAAAGATTTACAAATTCAGCAACTGTCACTAATGTGGGCCTCTCCTAAGCACCTCAAGCACTTGCCATGTGGGTAGTCCTGCTGCAAGTAACATGTGCCTTAAAGCTTGGGGACCAGGGAATGCCCCATCCCAAGACAACATCTCTAAAGGACTGACTATCACTACTAGCTACTAATGATTAACCATATAAGATGGAACTATTTACAAGGAAATCAACTATTAATACCAAAAAAACCACAACAGCAAGGGCTCTAGATCTGCACTTCCAAGCACTGTCACTGGGGCAAGAAGGAACTGAAGGGAAAGGGATCTAGCAGTACCCTATGTAGCTCAGATATGCACACTACTGTAGAAGGTGCTGGATCTGGTCTCCTATGGATACTGCTGAGGGAAAATCTTCCAGCACTGGTGCATGTGGTAAGCACACATGCCTGCGTTGAACAGATATGGGCAAGCACTTGAAGAATCAACCATATGTGAATCTTATTTAAGGGAAAGAAGTGAGTTAATCTTACTACTTTCCTCACTGAATCCCCACCCATGATGGTGTCTTAGATGTTTCCAGAAGCCAAGATGGAAATGGGAAGGGAGAGAGGAGCTGCACTTGGAATACCAGATGGTCAATGGAAAAAAAATGCTTAAAACAACCATTTTCTATCACTTAAAAGTAGTGAGGGTAGTGATCAAAGCGCTGGAAAAGACCTCAGGAGGCCATCAAGTCCAGCCTCCTTCTCTAGGCAGGACCAATCCCAACTAAATCAACTCAGCCAGGGCTTTGTCAAGCCGAGACAAACACCTCTAGGGATGGAGACTCCACTACTTCCCTAGGGAACCCATTCCAGTGCTTCACCACTCTCCTAGTGAAATAGTTTTTCCTAATATCCAACCTGGACCTCTCCCACTGCAACTTGAGACCAATCACTCCTTATTGGCAATTGCTCCAGCCCCCTAATCGTTTTGGTTGTCCTCTGCTGGACCCTCTCCAATGTGTCCACATCCCTTCTGTAGTGGGGGGCCCAGAACTGGACACAGTACTCCAGATGTGGCCTCACCAAAGCCGAATAAAGGGGAATAATGACATCTCTGGATCTACTGGCAATGCTCCTCTTAATGCAACCTAATATGCCATTAGCCTTCTTGGCTACAAGGGCACACTGTTGACTCATATCCAGCTTCTCATCCACATAATCCCCAGGTCCTTTTCAGCAGAACTACTACTTAGCTGGTTGGTCCCCAGCCTGTAACAATGCTTGGGATTCTTCCATCCCAAGTGCAGGATTCTGCACTTGTCCTTGTTGAACCTCATCAGATTTCTTGTGGCCCAATCCTCCAATTTGCCTAAGTCACTCTGGACCCTAATCTCTGCCATCAAGCGTAGCTACCTATCCCCATAGCTTAGTATCATCTGAAAACCCTTTTTCTTTTTCTTTTTCTTTTTCTTTTTCTTACATGCATACAGCTCCTTGTCAGATTCTTAGAGCTCTGAAGCACTCAGAATTGCGTAATTATAATGAATCATCAACTAACAGTACAATGAAAGTAATTTAGAGTAAAGGTACACCATGTTTACTTATGACGCAGTTGCAAGCCTTCAGAAGAAAATAGGACAAAAAGCTGACATTACTTCAACTTTGACTTGCCTGTGAGAGGTTGTTTTGTATTGGACTTTGAATATTTCTACACTGAGCGCCTGAAATTTACACAGAAGAATTCTCTGCAGTGTACAGAATTTTTCATGAATCACTTTTATCTGGAGTTCAGTCCATAAGGGCCTCACTTCCAAGTGCCTCAAAATGGACTTATTCCTAATCACTTTCCTCACTTCCAAGTGCCTCAAAATGGACTTCTTAAAGATCCCTTCCATGATTTTTCCAGGTACTAAGGTAAGACTGACCGGCCTATAGTTCCCTGGATCGTCCTTCTTCCCTTTTTTGAAAATGGGCACTACATTTGCCTTTTTCCAATCATCCGGGATCTCTCCCGATCTCCACTACTTTTCAAAGATAATGGCCAAAGGCTCCTCAAGGACATTTGCCAACTCCCTCAGTATCCTCGGATGCATTAAGTCGGGATCCATGGATTTGTGTATGTTTAGCTTTTCTAAATAGTTCCTAACCTGTTCTTTACCCACCCAGGGCTGTTAATCTTCATCCCTTCTTGTGTCACTTAGCGCATTGGTCCAGGAGCCGACCTTGTCCATGAACACAGAGGCAAAGAAAGCATTGAGTACTTCAGCTTTCCCCACATCATCTGTCACTAGGTTACCTCCTTCATCCAGTAGGGGCCCCACACCCTCTCTGATCACCTTCTTCTTGTTAACATGCCTGTAGAAACCTTTTTTTGTTATCCTTCACATCCTTTGCCAGTCGCAATTCTAATTGCGCTTTCGCCTTCCTGATAACCCCCCGGCATTCTCGAGCTATACATTTAAACCCCTCCCTGGTCATTTTCCAAGTTTCCACTTTTTGTAAGCTTCCTTTTTGTGCTTAAGTTCATCAAGGATTTCCTCTGTAAGCCAATCCAGTCTCCTACCATGTTTGCCTCTCTTGCTATGCATCGGGATGGTTTCTTTCTGTGCCTTCAATAAGGCTTCTTTAAAATACTGCCAGCTGTCCTGGACTCCTTTCCCCTTCATAAATAAATAAATGGGGATTGCCTACGTCCTAGAACTGGAAGGGACCTTGGAAGGTCATCAAGTCCAGTCCCCTGCCTTCACAGCAGGACCAAGTACCATCCCTGACAAATTTTTGCTCCAAATTCTTAAATGGCCTCAAAGATTGAACTCACAGCCCTGGGTTTAGCAGGCCAATACTCAAACCACTAAGCTATCCCTCCCCCCCTTCATGTTTTTATCCCAGGGGACTCTGCCCATCAGGTCTCTGACGGAGTCAAAATCTGCTTTTCTGAAGTCTACGGTGTGTATTTTACTACTCTTTCTTCCTTTGGTCAGGAACCTGAAATCTACCATCTCATGATCACTGCTTCCCAGGTTGTCACCCACCTCTACTTCCCCTATTAGTTCCTCCTGTTTGTGAGCAGGTCAAGCTGCGCATGGCCCCTGGTCGGATCCTTCAGCACTTGTTCCAAGAAGTTATCCCCAACATTCTCCAAAAACTTCCTGGATTGCCTGTGTACTGCTGTATTGGTTTCCCAACAGATGTCAGGGTGATTAAAGTCCCCCACGAGAACCAGGGCCTGCTGTCTGGAAGCTTCTCTCAGTTGTCCGAAGAAAGCATCATCTACCTAATCCACCTGATTCAGTGGCCTGTAGTAGACACCAACCACAACATCATTGCTGTTGTTTGCACCTCTAAACTTAACCCATAGACTCTCAACAGGTTTTTCTCCCTCTTTATACTGGAGTTCAGAGCAATCATAGTGCTCTCTTACGTTCAGTGCAACTCCTCTTCCTATTCTCCACTGCCTGTTCTTCCTGAACAGTCTATACCCTTCCATGACAGCGCTCCAGTCATGCGAGTCATCCCACCAAGTCTCTGTTATCCCAATTAAATCATATTTCTTGGACTGGGCCATGGCCTCCAGTTCTTCCTGTTTGCTGCCCAGGCTTCTTGCATTAGTATACAAACACCTCAGACAACCAGTTGATCACCCTAACCTCTCCATTCGAATCAGGGTCCTCCTTTCTTGTTCGTTCCTCTTTGCATCTCTTCTCGATATCCAACTTTCCCACTCCCCTCAGGGTTTTGGTCACTGTCCCCCAACAAACCTAGTTTAAAGCCCTCCTCACTAGGTTTGCAAACCTGCCCGCGAAGATGCTCCTTCTTCTCTTGGTTAGGTGGATCCCATCTCTTCCTAACAATCCTTGTGCCTGGAACAGAGTCCCATGGTCGAAGAAACCAAAGCCCTCTCTGCGACACCACCTGCGCAACCACGCATTTACTTCCTCAATTTGACGAATGGCTCAATGTCAGGATGGCGGTTGGTTTCTAGTGGAGTGCCCCAAAGTTCAGTTCTAGGACCGGTTTTGTTCAATATCTTTATTGATGAGGGGATGGATTGCACCCTCAGCAAGTTTGCAGATGACACTAAGCTAGGGGGAGAGGTAGGTATGGTTGAGGGTAGAGATAGGGTTCAGACAAATTGGAGGACTGGGCCACAAGAAATCTGATGAGGTTCAACAAAGACTAGTGCAGAATCCTGCACTTGGGATGGAAGAATCCCAAGCATTATTACAGGCTGGGGACCAACCAGCTAAGTAGTAGTTCTGCAGAAAAGGATCTGGGGATTACAGTGGATGAGAATCTGGATGAGTCAACAGTGTGCCCTTGTAGCCACGAAGGCTAATGGCATATTAGGTTGCATTAGGCGGAGCATTGCCAGCAGATCCAGAGATGTGATTAGTCTCCTTTATTCGGCTCTTGTGAGGCCACATCTGGAGTAGTGTGTCCAGTTCTGGGCCCTCCACTACAAAAAGGATGTGGATGCATTGGAGAGGGTCCAGCATAGGGCAACCAAAATGATTAGGAGGCTGGAGCATTTAGCAGGGTGCCACAACCCCGCACGCAGGGGCAGCTGGGGGAGGCCCGGGAGAGGAGACCCGCAGGGAAGTGGCCGAAGCCTTCGTGCAGCATTTGCAGGGTCAGTCGGCCCCGGGCACTGAGAGCGCCGACTGCATCACCCAACCGTTGCAGGCTGGTGACGTCACGCTGCGCAATGTGCCCCGGAGGCACCGGGGAATGACATCATAGCAGGGACAACGGTGGAGGATGCCGGGTGATGACGTCCCATGCTGGCCTACCAGGACTTCAAAAGGGTAGGCCCCAAGAGGGAAGGGGGGGGGAGAAGGACTGCGTCAGGGAAAGGACGGGGGACCAGGACCGGAGAAGGCAAGCACTGAGTGAGATAACTCGGGTTCCGGGACTGGCTGAGTAGGAAGCGGCCCAGGGCGGGGCCGTGTAACCTGAGAGCAGGTGAGTTTAGGGGTAACTACCCCACCCGCTGAACAGAAAGTGCTCTTCCTGTCTTAGGGCCTTGGGTCGCGGCTTGGGCGAGAGGATGGGCCCCGAGTCCCCCTACTCCGCCCTCTTCGTGCCGTGGGCATGATCTTCCAGTGAGAGTAAGGCCAAGATTACTCTGGGACAAGATACTCTGTAGGAATCTATGTAATTCGGCGCGGGTGGGGGTGGAGGGGGAATTGTAACAATGTCACGTCCCAGGCAACGGGCACGGCGTTTGTGACTATTTACAGAGCACATGACCTACGAGGAGAGACTGAGGGATTTGGGTTTGTTGAGTCTGCAGAAGAGAAGAGTGAGGGGGGATTGGAGAGCAGCCTTCAACTTCCTGAAGGGAGGTTCCAAAGAGGCTTGAGAGAAATTGTTCTCAGTAGTGATAGATGGCGGAACAAGGAACAATGGTCTTAAGTTGCGGCTGGAGAGGTCCAGGTTGGATATTAGGAAAAACTATTTCACTAGGAGGGTACTGAAGCCCTGGAATGGATTACCTAGGGATGTAGTGGAGTCTCCGTCCCTAGAGATTTTTAAGTCACGGCTTGACAAAACCCTCGCTGGGTTGATTTAGTTGGGATTGGTCCTGCCTAGGGCAGGGGGCTGGGCTTGATGACCTTCTGAGGTCTCTTCCAGCTCTATGGTTCTATGATTCTATGTTCTCTTTCGTGGTTAATAAACTTATTTTTGTTTTATCTAAAACCAGTTTGTGAGATTCATAACTGGGGGGCAAAGAGCTGTGCTTATCTTTCTCCACACTGAGGGAGGAGGTGAATTTGATGAGCTTACATTGTAAAGTTCTCTCTGCAGTGCAAAATAATACAATTTTGGATGTGCACTCCAGCAGGGTGTGCACGCAAGTAGCTGTCTAGCAGAATCTTCCCCACGCAGAGCAATTCCAGCCTGTCTTTCTGCAGAGGGGTGCATCCCTACTTGGAGTGTGTTCTGGAGGAGGCATGAGGGCATGACTCAGCAGGACTGTGTGAGGGAGTGGGCAGACTCAGACATTCATAAGATATTGTATAAGAGGGGAGACTAGGAATAGCAGAAATTAATTAAATGAGAAGCAGGTCTGGTCTATAGCTCATTGGAGTTAAAGTATATATTAGGATATTATGGTTTAAAAAAACAAAAACAAAAAACTCTAGGCAAGTTTCATTCTATGACAACAGCTGGAAGAGGTTGTGACTATAGAGTGTGAGCTCTACAATGCCAGTTCTTCAGCACCCATTATCTACAGTGTCCACTCCTGCTGCTGCAGTGAACAGCTCTTTCTCTCCCCATGGGTTCACCTGGTAACTGTTGCAATCGTCTCTCATTTGTTAGTTCTACATCATCCTTGTGGGTGCAGAGCCGAGTTGCAAGGATCCCATCTCTCTCAACCCTGTTAGTTGCTGTTTCCATTAGCTTTCTGGTGACCTCATCTGTGCACCTGATGAAAAGTGGAGGAGGTAAATAGGTACCATAACTTCGTAGAAAAGAATAAGGGTTTTAAAAGACTCCAAAGGGAAATCTCAGGTGATAAATGCCAAAAAAGTGAGTACACACACACACACACACACACACACACACACACACACACACACACACACTATGTATATATATACACACACACACACAAATATCTGTGGCAAACACCACACAGTAGCTATTCCTACTCCAGTGTGAACCATTTCAACTTGTGTATTCAGGCTCTGTCCTCCCCCGTGCTTCCCCCATCTCCCATCCCTCCTGGCCTTACCTATTAAGATTTGTAAGGTCTCCCCCCACTGCATTAATGGAGCTTCTCTGAGAGTAGTCATAGTGGAAGCACAAATGTAAACAGGCTGTTACATTTAAGCCACAGTGCTGTATCAGACCTGTGCTGACTGCTAGATCTACACTACTGCTCCTATCCAACAAGCTGCCCTGATGTAGCTATAAGAGATTGAAAACACGGTTAGTTACAGATTTTCCCATTGTTTTTACAAATACCGACTAGCATGGCAACTCCTCAGACTTAGTTACCAATGTCACTGAAAGCATTCATATGGGGATTTCATGAGATCACCATAGGTTAATTTTATACCAGCATTGCTATATTGTTCATTTGTCCCAAGATCATTAGATCCATCAGCAGTTAGCATAACAGGTAAAAGTGACACCATGGAGCAGGGAGTCAGTAACAATGGAGGCAGCCTACTGAACTGGGCAAGAAGCAACTAGCATTATGATCTTTCATTAGCTGGAGGAATTGAGAAGCTGTGGGTCTTGGCAGTGGATGAAGCAACGCTGTGCCCAGACACCTTAGCAGCCAAATACCCAAGTATGCCACTTTTAGAAGTTGTGAGAGAGGTAGCCAAGTGAGATCTCCCCGTACAGAGACATCTGTGAGGAGAAGTGAGGGCAAGAGGTTCCTCCTCACCTGCCCAGGCGGATTGCACGCAAGAGTGAGATGAAGCTCTTATCAGTTTGTCTTCGCACTTCTGTCAGTTCCATGTTCATGTGGATGCATTTCCTCCAGCTCTTTGCCTGTGAATAAGTTATTCATTCACTAGGAGACAGACACAAACAAAGTCGGAAGTAGTGGGTAGGATGGGCTTCACACCTGGAAGCAGAACTTGGTTTCCTCATTGCCTTTGCTGACTGGTGGTAGTTGTAAGAAGTCCCCACAAATGATCAGCTGTATTCCTCCAAATGGGTCTTCCCGTTTCCTGACAGCTCTGTAAGGGGAGTGAATTTAATATGATCAATAATGACCTTAGCACAAAAAGTAGAAGGGGGTCTCATGAAATTTGCTGATGACAAAAGGTTGGGAGTCCTCATCATTACAGAGAAAGATCAGAATATTTGACACCTGATGACCATGAGGTCTGAAATAATAGAAGTGGCATGAAATGTAGTAATGCAAGGTCATGCACTTTGGGACTAACGAGTTTGCTAAAGCTGGGGGCTGCTTAGCTGGAAATTACAGAAATTAAAAATATAGAAGTATTAGTCAACTGCAGGATTATGATGAGGCCCCGATACAATCCATCTATGTTAAAGGCAAATCTGATTCTAAGATGAATCGTGAAAAGTTTTTTCTGACAGAGAAAGGGAAATAGTAAAACCACATCTGCATTAGGGATGTTAAAAAGCAATTATTTAGGTAACTATGTAACAGTTAAAAATCTTAGTGGTTACACACTCTGGGCTGTGCAGTATAAAGCTTACAATGCATGGCCTGCAGCACAACTGCATCTTGGGAGCGAGGTCGGCAGCCAGTGCATGCTGAGCTGGCTCCCAGTCCCACTTCTGGGGAGCCGGCTGCACTGTGGGCTCTGCAGTATGTTTTAGACTGCAGAGTCTGCAGCATGGGGCAGCAACTGACTCCCTGGGAGCTAGCATGTACCAGCTCCTATCTGCTGGCCCCTTTCCTGGGGAGCTGGCTGCCACCCTACATGGCTGCCTCTGCTGTGTAGGGTGGCAGCTGGCTCCCAGCTTTTAAGGGTGGCTCCTGACATGCACACCAGATCTTGCCTCCAGCCCTGTTCTCAGAGAGCTAGCTACCACTCCATGTGGTAGGCTCTGATACAGAGACAGCAGCATGGAGTGGCAGCCAGCTCTCTGAGAGCATGGCCAGGAGCCAGCATATAACCACCACATTAACCAATAAGTTCTAGGGTTCTTATCTGTTAACCATTTAAACAGTTACACTATTACATCCCTAATCTGCACCATTATGTACAACTCTAGTTACTGATGGCACCAGCCACAGAAAAAGATTACTAAGATGACTATGGGAAATGGAGAACCCTTTTCATAAGAGGAAGCAAAAAGAGTTTGGCTTGTTTAGCAGAACTAAATGAAGGCCGATAGGCGATATGACTTTCCTCTATAAATACATTGGGGTTAGGTGCACATTCAGGCCAGAGAAGAACAATTTAAGACAAAGTACAGGGTTGACATAAGAAAAAATGGTTACTTACCTTCATAACTCTTGTTCTTCGAGATGTGTTGCTTATATCCATTCCATGTAGGTGTATGTGCACATCATCAGAAATTTCTCCCTCAGCAGTACCCGTTGAGACATCAGGGAGCCCCCTGGAGTGGCACCGCTATAACAGATAATATATACCTCTGCTGGCCCTCCACCCCCTCGGATCCTTCTCACCAGACTACTCTGAAGATGGGGAAGCGGGCGGAATTTCAAATGGACATGAGCAACATATCTCAAAGAACAACAGTTACAAAGTTACATTTTTAATTCTTCAAGTGATTGCTCATGTCCATTCCATGTAGGTGACTCCAAAGCAGAAACCCCAGGAGGCGGGGTGGGAGCTCTAACTTTCAAGTGAGCATAGGACAGCCCTGCCCAAGGCTACATCCTTCCTAGCCTGATGAGCCAGTGCAGAATGATTGGCAAAGGTGTGGATAGAAGCCAACATGCAAGCCCTACAAATGTCTAATATAGGGATCTGAGCCACAAAGACTGTAGAAGAAGCCTGTGCCTTAATGGAGTGGGCTGTAAGGGAGGGGACTAGCACCCCAACCACACCATAGCACTCCTTGATACAAGACATGATCCACAAGGAAACTGGCTGCCCCTGCAGACATTTCAAAATCGCCAAAACAGCTGTGGGGACTTATGGAATGATTTAGTTCTTTCCAAATAAAAGGCTAAAGCTCATCTAACATCCAGAGCGTGTAAAGCCTGTTCCTTACCAGAGGCATGGTACAAAATATATCAGAAGGACAGAAAAGGTCATGCTGGTGGTGGAGTGGCACTATACATGAAAGAAAATGAAGAATCAAATGAAGTAAAAATCTTAAAATGTTCCAGAGAAACTCTATGGATACTAATTCCATACTCTAATAATAAGGATATAGCGGTAGGGATATATTATCAACCACCTGATCAGGACGGTGATAGTGACTATGAAATGCTAAAGAGATTGGAGAGACTATCAAAATAAAAAACCTCAAAAATAGTGAGGGATTTCAACTATCCCCATATTAATTGGGTACAGGTCACTTCAGGATGGGCTGTAGAGATAAAATTTCTTAATACCTTAAATGACTGGTCCTTTGTAGCAGCTGGTTCGGGAGCCCACAAGGGAAGAGGCAGTCCTTTATTTAGTCTTAAGTGGAGTGCAGGATCTGCTCCAAAGAGGTAAATATAAATGGACCGCTTGGAAACAGTGACCATAATATAATAAAATTTAACATCCCTGTGGTGGAACACACACCTCAGCAGTCCAACACTGTGGCATTTAATTTCAAAAAGGGGAACTACACACAAATGAGGAGGTTAGTTCAACAGAAATAAAAAGGCACAGTGACAAAAGTAAAATCCCTGCAAGCTGCATGGAAACTTTTCAAAGACACCATAATACAGGCCTAACTTAAATGTATACTCCAAATTAAAAAACACAGTAAGAGAAGCAAAAAAGTGCCACTGTGGCTTAACAGCCAAGTAAAAGGAGCAGTGAGAGATAAAAAGACAAGTGGAAGTCAAATGCTAGTGAGGAAAATAGAAAGGAGCATAAACTCTGTCAAATTAAGTGTAAACATATACTAAGAAAAGCCACAAAGGAGTTTGAAGAAAAGCCAGCGAAAAACTCAAAAAGTAATAGTAAAATGTTTTTTAAGTACATCAGAAACAGGAAGCTGGCTAAACAACCAGTGGGGCCCTTGGACAATCGAGATGCTAAAGGAACACTCAAAGATGATAAGGTTATTGTGGAGAAACTAAAAGAATTCTTTGCTTCAGTGTTCACGAATGAGGATGTTAGGGAGATTCCCAAACCTGAGCCGTTCTTTTTAAGTGACAAATCTGATGAATTGTCCCAGATTGAGATATCATTACAGGAGGTTTCGGAACAAATTGATGAACGTAACAGTAACAAGTCACTGGGACCAGATGGCAGTCACCCAGGAGTTCTGAAAGAACTCAAATGTGAAATTGGAAAAACTGTGATTTGTAACCTATCCTTGAAATCAGCTTCTGTACTTAATGACTGGAAGATAGCTAACATGATGCCAATCTTTTAAAAGGGCTCTAGAGGTGATCCTGGCAATTGCAGACCAGTAAGTCTAATGTCAGAGCCAGGCAAATTAGTTGAAACTATAATAAAGAATAAAATTGTCAGACATGTAGATGAACATAATTTGTTGGAGAAAAAAGTCAACATGGTTTCTGTAAAGAGAAATCATGCTTTACTACTCTGTTAGAGTTCTTTGTCGACAAAACTATACCTGCATCTACACTACCGCCGCGGTCTGTCAAAAGTAAGTTGACAGAACGCGGCAGTTTTCTCGACGGTGGTAAACCTCGTTTTACAAGGAATAGCGCCTTTTTTCGAAGGTACTCTTTCAAAGAAAGGCACTATCGCATGCAAAAACTGTGCTTTTGACAACAGAACTGGTTGTAGTCTAGATGCTCTTTTTCGACAGGGGCTTTGTCGACAGTATCTATCGACAAAGCCTCTGTCGAAAAAGGCGTGCAGTCTAGACGTAGCCTGGGTGTTGGAACTGAAAGTTTTATTCTTTTTATATTTGTATTTTAGGTTTAGTAATGTAGTAATGTAAGGTAATATATAATCATATTTAATATTGTAGTAAGTCAAATTCTTTAGTTAAATATATATCTCCTATATTTCCTCGTTCTAAAGCGTAGTGAGTAAAAGAGACGGGATCTCATATTGTGTCTATGTCAATGAGATTAGAAATATTGAAGGCTTGGGCCTTCGATGTGAATTTTTTTGATTTTGCTTCAAATAAAACACTGCTGTTTACCTTTGAAGGATTTTGAGAGAGACTGTATGAATGAGATATGTGTGAAGGTCATCGTTAGAGCCAGATGTTCAAGAGAAAAGGGGGGAGAATGTGGGGTGAAGACAAACTGTAAAAGACAGACTGTGAGGAAACATATCAGCATCAGAGAAACCATCAGAGCGTACCCACGGTCAAGAAGTGATCAGATTGGCACATTGATGGCTCTAAAGGTGAAAGGAGGGCACCCCTAAAAACAACTGATTAACAATCCAGGACAAGATGAGCTTTGGAAAATGTTCTGGGAATACGGACATCAAAAGCTAACACTCCGGTCCATTAATTTCATCAGAGAAAAGGATTATAAAAGCAGGGTGCTTTGCTATGGGACTTTGGATTCGTCTTGCCACCACCTCCAGAGGAGCATCAGATCGATTGACCAACAAAGGCCCTGCTCTACCTCTGTGTTCAATCTAGCTCGCCACTAGACTGATACAGAATCTGGACTGGTAACTAGAACATCGTCTGGCGGGAGTGTGTGTGTGTGTGTGTGTGTGTGTGTGTGAGATTACAACAGTTGCATATGCTTTTCATTCTCAATAAATGTGGCGAATTGCCTTTTCCCCTATAAAAGATCTTGTGTGCTTCGTTTAAGCAGATAACATGGGGACTGAAACCAGTGCCAAGGCCTATGTGGCACCGGAGAGGCATGTGAGGGGCTGGATGCCCCCCGCACTGAACCTGGTGCACTCTGGGTCACTGGTGCCAGGTGCTAGGCCACTTCCATAAGGATCATCTTCAAGTGGGACTTTCTTTCCTGCTTGGTATGTGGCTTGAAGCCCTTGCAGGTCTTATGAGCCTCAGACAGGTGGACTTTGCGGAAGCACTTGAGACAGGCTCCATGGAGGGTCTCCACAGGATGTAGGCTTCTGGCACTTTTCGCTGAGCTTTAAGCCTTGGGGCCCAGGCATGCCCCACCAGATGCACTGGGGATGCGAGTGAGCCCTGCACCTGAGTACTTCAAAACTAAGTCCACCACTTACCAACTTTTAACAACTTAGATAAACACTACCAACTTAACAGCCATGGAAGGTGTAAACAGCTCTGTGTATACTCCCAGGCCAGGAAGGATACTATATATTAACTTTGATTCTTATCTGCTTATTTGAACTACCCAATCTTCAGATACTGATTCCCTCTGCTCTGACTCCCACCCTCTTCCTTTTTCTTTCCTTTCCCCTCCCCTATTTATTTTGTGTGCGCACATCCTAAACTCATAACTCCAGTAATCTGAATTGGGCTGTGCCTACGAAAGCTCATGATCCCATCTACATGTTTTGTTAGTCTATAAAGTGCTACCAGACCATTTGTTGTTGTTTTTCTGTAAGACTCATTCGGCTACCCCACCCCCCCAAGCTTGTGAAACTTTAGCTAGCTAAACAACAGGAGAGAACTGCTAAAAGCTTGCAGAGCAACAGCATTTTACAGGAGGGGTAAGAAGGAACTGAGGAGGGCCAGCAGGGGTATATATATATATATATATATATATATTAGCAAATATAGCAGTGCCACTCCAGGGGGCTCCCTTGCTGGCCCAACAGGTACTAAGGGAAAATTTTCTGACAACACATGCATGCAGCATGCCTGCATCTACATGGAATGGACATGAACAATCACTCGAAAAACAAATGGGTATAAATTGGTCATGAATAAATTTCAGCCAGAAATCAAGTTTTTAAACCATCTACAGACTAGTAAGAAGCTGCCCAACAAGCCATTATTCCAAAGAGGAAGAAACAGGAGGCTGGGGAAGACTACAGAGGTAGGCAATAGCTCAGGGAACACCAAAGGACTGAGAAGGACAGGGAGACTATTTGTGTGACAAACAGGGCTAGGCCACTAAAAGGGAATATCTCATTGGAGCGATCAGATGAAAAATCTCTTCCAGTTCTATAAATACATTTAGAGCAACAGAAAGTGACAGAAAATGTAGGTTCTCTACAAGAAAGGAGAGCTAATAAAGGACTGATGTTAAGAAAGCTCCAGTACTGATTGTCTCCTCTACTTGAATCTTCACTAAAAATAAAAATTATGACCAGATGTTTTACAGCATTAACATTAACAAAGAGGAAAGGCACACAAGCCAAAACAAGGAAAGAACAGATTAAAGAATATTCAGATAAATTAGGTGTGTTCAAGTTGTCAGGGTCTTATGAAATTCCATTACCTATTATCTTTGGGCATGTCTACACTTGCACCCTCTTTCAATAGAGGGATGCAAATGAAGACAATCGAAATTGCAAACGAAGCCAGGATTTACATATTCCCGTGCTTCATTTGCATAATCACATTATGGTGCTATTTTGAAATAGCATTATTTCGAAATACAAAACGTGGTGTAGATGCGGCTATTTCGGGAGAATACCTTTCTACTGAAATAACAGTTAAACCTCATTTTATGAGGAATAAGGGTTATTTTGAGGGAAGGGTGTTCTCCTGAAATAACAAACACGGTGTAGATGCGGTTATTTTGAAATAGCCCCATAACACAATTATGCAAATGAAGCACGGGATATTTAAATCCCGGCTTCATTTGCAATTTTGAACGTCTTCATTTGCATCCCTTTATTGAAAGAGCGTGCAAGTGTAGACATACCCTCAGAGAACTCCTGGAGGATGGGTGAGGTCTAAGAGGACTGGAAAAAGGTAAACATAATTCTAGGGATGTTAGGTACCATGTAATTGATAGTCATATAACCATAAAAAAAATCTTAGCAGTTACATGACAATTCGGCAAGTCCCCGGAAACAGGGCTGGCAGCTACTGCGTTCCTGGCCCCACCCTAGGGAGCCCGCTGCTACCCCATGCGGTATGGCAGCAGCCCGTCTGTGGTGGTCCAAGCTCCCCATGGACAGAGGCTGCTCCACGGCAGCTTCTGCTGCTCCCCACCCCACCGCGCTGCTGCCTCGGATAGAGGCAGCAGCATGGGGGAGGGGAGAAGAGAGAAGCGTCACTGGGTAGCTGGTGCTGGGGGAACCGGCTCTCTAGGAAGCAGCAAGGTGGGAGGCAGGCAGGTCCGTGGAAATGGCACACGTGGGAAGCCTGCTTGAAAGCCTGCTCCCATGAGTATAGGCTCCTGCCTGTCCCTCATCACCCTCCATGCTGCTGCCTCTCTATCAGAGGCAGCAGCAAGGATGGGGGAGGCAGGTGGACACAGTGCTCAGGGGAACCTACTTGTAAGTCAGCTCCTCATAGGCACAGGCTCCCGCTCCCCTCCTTGCTGCCTCTGATACAGAGGCAGCAAGAGTGGGGAAAGCATGTAGTCAACAAGATTAACAGATACGCCTAGGAATATTGATTAATCCTGTAGTAATCTACACGTTGACATCCCTACATGATGCCTATTAGATAGACAGACAGACAGACAGACAGAAAGAAAATCAGGGGGATCTGGGAAATTATAAACTAATCAGCTTAATTTTGAAACCTGAAATTATACTGAACCAAATTATTCAACAATCAATTTGTAAGCACCTAGAGGCTATTACTTATCACCTTATTGTCCAACAAGGATTTGTTAAGGATAAGCCATACCAAACCAGCCCGATTTCCTGCTTTGACAGGTTTATTGACTAGTGAACATGGGAAAGTTGAAAACATGGTACTTGACTTTAGTAGGGCTTTTGACACAGATCCATATGACATTCCCATACACTAAGTCAGATATGTGGTCTAGATAAAATTACTGTCAAGTGGGTGCAAAACTGCTTGAGGGACCTTCTGGAAAGCATAGTTATCAATTGTTCCTTGTAAAACAGAATGGATCTGTCTGGAGTAGCCTCATAGGAGTTTGTCTAGGATTCAGTACTATTCAATATTTTAATTAATGTCTTGGGTGCTGAGTAGAGAGTATGCTTATATAGAATATAAAATTTGTGAATTACATCAATCTGAAGGGGTTGCTAATACTTTGAATTCCAATCCTGTCCTCCAAACTGACATTAAAAATTGGAGAACTGACTCAAAATCTTACTATGTATTTTAGAAATTTGCATCTGTCAGTCTGAGAGTCCATTTGTCAAGAACTCTTCTGAAAGGATAAGAGCTAGGGCCATCAAAATTTGGTATGCAGCTTTCTCTTTTCTATGATTCTATAATCCAGAGACTCCCAGTTACCCTAGGTATTAGCAAGCCTTACCTCTCAATACTGTGACTGAAGGTAGGGGAAGGCAACTCTAGTAAAGTGAGCCAGGGAATTTTATCTATTTGCCCATGACCACTCACCTGGCTACTGCTTCTAGTTTATCAAAAAACTTGCCCTCCACCATTGAAATCTCATCAATAATTAAGTGCTGGCAATTCAACCAATGTTGACGCACTCCAGTTCTCTGAGCCAGCTCAATGCACTGATCTAGAGGAGCTTTCCCAGAACCAATACCTAATGAAAGAAGAGAACACATAGGTAAGTATCACCAAAACGCCAAGACTTACCAGATCTTTTCCACTAGTCTTCTCCACATCACTGCAAGCCAGGAGAAATACTCAAGCAGAAAGTTATTCTTTTTACCTGCAAAAGCATGGAGCGTGGTGCCACCAATATGACAAGCTGCCACTCCTGTACTGGCTGTAGCATAGGTGCTCTTTGGGGGCAGTGAACCCACAATCTTTTTCAGAAGATATGACTTCCCAGTCCCTTTTAGAAGAGAAAAGTTATTTCAGAAAGAGGCTCTCTCTGACACCATTAGTCAAATGTCCTCAAAACACATATAGTTTGAATTCCAGCACCAAACTCCTAATACTGCTCTTAACTTTGTTCATTCAAAATGTCAAACACAAAAACATTAGGAACAAAAGAACAGCATGAACACAGAGTTCAGCTAACTATAAACCCAGCCTGTCAGGAAAGGGTTAGCTCTGTTTGACTACTCAGATAAGCTGCAGTTTAGAGTTTTTTGTGGGCCCTCCCGTTTAGGGACCCAACTCCCCACACTGGAATCCATCCATAAAAAAAGAAGGCATAGTATGTATAAGAGTATTTTACTTAGTGTAATTTAAATTGACTAAGCTTCTCCCTGATGTGGATGACTTACAAGACTTCCCCTTTTGTAGAGGTCAAATTGTTCTTTCCCTCATTCCACTTTTTAATGTACATCTTTGATTTCATTTTCTCCTTTATAAAAAAAAAAATGAAATTCTAAAGTATCACTAAATATAGCTACACTTTGACAAAAGTCTTGTCCTATTGTATATCTGCACTAAAGCACTGTAAAGTGCATAGGTTACAACAGTACCAATTCCAAGTGTTAAAAATTATTAATCAAGTCCCCAAAATCATGAGATGGCCCTAAGACAAAACACATTCAATTAAAAAAAAGTGAGTTCTCCTAATATGCCTTTTAGGCAAAAAACCTTTAGGGTTCTCATTTGATCCTTTGCTCAGCAATGAAGAGAACCAGAAGCTTTGTGAGAGAATCTCATTTAATTTTAAATAATCACATGACTCCAGGGACTGGGTATTTCAATAAATGAGACTTGTGATAAGAAAAACCTCCCACAAACATTGTCAACTTGCAAGAAAGATTATGATGCCCTACTTCGACAAGGCATAAAACAATTCAAAATCTCTGCTTGCTTACAAGACCATAAATGTAGCTTAAAAGAGGAGTGATGCATAAAGGAGACCCCCCCCCCCCCCCCCCCCCGTCTCAATGGATCAGTTATTTACATCAGGTCAGTTTGTACTAGGGATGTCAGCATATAGTCAGGTAAACCATTAACTGATAAGTCTGAACTTATCGGTTAATCGTAATGACTACACACATTCCCTCCCTCAGATTATATCAGAAGCAGCAAGGGAGGGGAGGCAGTGCCCATGGGGAGCCAGCTTTTAAGCCAGCTCCCCATGAGCACTGGATTCTGTGGAGCCGCCTGCTCCTCGCACCCCATGCTGCTGCCTCTCTATCAGATAGCAGTGTGGGGAGGAGCAGGGGAAGCGGGAGTCGATATGCATGGGGAGCTGGCTTTTAAGTTGGCTCTCCACATGCTGGTTCTGCAAAGTCACCTTCCTAACTCATGCTGCCTTCCACAGAGGCAGTGGGGGCAGCAGGAAGAAGCTGGTGCTCAGAGGGAGCCAGCTTAAAAGCCAGTCCCCTATGAGCACCAGCATCATAGATCCGCCTTCCCAGAACGGTACTGCTGCCTCTGTATCAGAGATAGGAGTGCACAGGGAAGGTGGGATGTCAGTGCAACCCCTGTCCGCAGGGAGTTTGGGGGCAGGAGATGGAAGCTATGCATCTCTCCTTTTGTTTATAAAGAAGGTGAACATTTTTTCATCTCTGCTTTTAAAAAATAGCTTCTGAGCAGGCTCAGAAGCTAATACAGTTAGCAGAGTCTGCTCAAGCGCCCCTGTTACCTCAGGAATATGAATTCCCATTCTATTTCCCGGCTTGAGAAGAGCGTAAGAAATTTGCAGAAGACAAACTGTTCAATTGCATTTGTATTAGAAGCAAAAAATGCTATCATTAGTACTAGCATCAGTGTAGCACCACTGTTGGTAGCAGTGATGCAGATGGGGAAAGAAGACATTTTAATCACTGTGCAGATGTAAACATACATTAATAAAGTAATAGAAACTGCCAGTGCTTGAACTACATTAGAGCTGCACGAACCAGTGGGAGTTCAGGTGCGAATCTTTGCTAAAACTGTTCAGTCCAGACTAGGGATATGAAAGTGTAACTGTGTACAGTTAACTGTTGAGCCTGGGCTCATTGGTTAACATTCATAGTTACATGCAGGCTCCCAGTATGCATGGGGATCCAGCTTAAAAGCCAGCTCCCAGGAAGATGCCTGCCCCCCACCCACGCTACTGTCTCTGTATCAGAGACAGCAGCATGGAGC